CCCCAACCTGGGGACAGGATGGGTCCCATACACAGGTTAGCCTGGGAGACTGCTGCATCACTCCACTTCCCCACGGCTCCCACCACCGCAGTGTGGGGGAGCAGGGGCTGACCCCAGCTGTCCCCCTGCCAGGCCACCAGAGGCTGCGTCTGATGGGGGAGGAGTTTTGGGAAAGGGATGCTATTGGGGGAGGGAGAGGGCACAGCAGGGGTGGGAAGAGGGTGGGGGTGGAGCAGGGGCTGGACTTGGGGGAGGGGGCAGACAGGCCTTCACCATAGCGCAGTTTCATGGCAAGTCCCGGTCTGACGGCAAAGCACACGCTGCTGCGAGCCCGGCAGGTGTCTCTCTGGGCAGAGCTGTCAGACCAGAGCCCCCCGACGGCTGCGTCCCACCCACAGAGAACCCCACAAAACCAGCTGTGTGCTGCATCAGGGCCCTCCCCGCGACACTGACAGAGGGGCCCAGACTCCAGTGGCACCGAGATCAAGTGGGATCGTCCTCTCCTGCGACTGAGGCCTACTCCTGCCGGCGGACCCCAGGCCGGACTCCCGGGACCTGCAGCTGGAGTGCTGGGAAACCGAGCAGGGAAGGTGGAAGACACAAGACCCTGCTTGACTCAGCCGTGTAGCTTTACTTGCTGCCCTTCCTGCGGGCTGGCCCGAACCTCCCCTGCAGAGTGCGGCCAGTTCCCAGCGGGTGCAAAGGAGGGCAGCTTTCCAAGTTACGCCGGGGAAGAATCTGGCCTCTGGCACGTTCTGAAACCAGCGTAGGAGGCAGGGACGTGAGCCAGACGCCTAGCTTCCACTGAAGCGTGGATCTGAGCCAGGGGCCCTGCCCCCTGGATCTGTCCAGCCTGGTGTTAAACACCCCAGAGAGGCAGGAGGTGGCTCTCTTCCCACCCACGTCCTTAGGAAACAGCTGATCTGATAGCAAAGAAGACATGCACCCATGGTGCAGTCGGCCCAACTAGGTGTGGTTCAGGTGTGTGTGTGTGGGGGGGGGGATTGCTCAAGTCAGGATTAGTCAGAGCCAACTAGACGGTGTTCCGGAGCCCTGGCCGTCTGTTTCCCCACTGGCAGGGCTGCGGGTTGCAAAGGCAGGCAGGGAAACAGAGCTTAGCTCCGAGAACACGACCCCCCGAGATCAGGCTTGCCGGGAACGGTGGAGTCAATGCCAGGATTCTACGTGCAGGATCTCAAAACAGGAGCACATGCCAGAGGCCAGCCGCAGTCAAGAGAAATAGCATCAGCTTGGGTCTGGGGGCCCCCCCACTCCGCCCTGCCTCGGCACCTGCCCCAGTGCCCAGGAGTTCAGAACTAGCGAGACAGGCAGTGCCGGGCATATGGAAACTAGCCCCCAACCTCAGCTGGGCAAATGTCATGGCCTTCCCCAGCCCAGAAACTTTGGGACCCAGCCAGGGTGCAGTCCAGTCCGTGAC